ATTTGTCTTTTACCACAAAATAAAACATCTTCATATTCACATACCATTTACAACATTTGAATAGCTTATTAAAAACATTTGTTTCACTAAATTTTTATTATTGATTTATATCATGTCAAAATCCATGGTACAAATGACTGACATGACAAAAATAGGTATCATGATAGAATTAATTCCTTAAATCTACCTATTCTATCTACCCTACATTTATATAATTACAACGAACACAAAATATAAATCCAATTTTATTTCGTCATCATTGTTTTATTTTAAAGAGATAAAATTGTTCTTATCAATCTTGATAGACATGGTAATACAATTCTGTCACATTATTTTGGCAAGGAAAGTTTTGGATGAGTTTTGGGGAATTTTTGGGCTGAAAATGGTTGACCCAATCATTCAATACTGTTAAACGCTAAAATAGCATGGTCTAGTAAAAAGTTCTACTGATATTTTTAAATCAATATAAGTTCAAGACTAGTAATAGTCTTAAAAAAATTAAAATAAATAACTGTGGTTTAATAATAAACCAATAGCACTAATTGAAATATTCTGTCCCAGCTACATTTGTGGTCACGAGTGACTAGATTAGATTTACCTTAGAGGTTAAAATAATGATCAAGGTTAGGCTACACAGCAGTGTGAGCACTTGAGATGATATCAAACACATCTCGAAACATATGCTGTACTTTCATACTGAAGCTGCTGAAAACCTCACAGTAAATTCACGTTTATCTTCTCTAAATCCCTTCTTCTTTTGACAGTTGAACCTGAAAAACACACACAAAATTAAAATCATGAGAGAAAAAGGATCAGCGGCTGTATAGTAATGACCAATCGCCAATAAATAATGTTACATAACAGCATGGCTCTGGACCGGTTCAAGGAAAGAAAGGGCCATAAATAGAACGTGGAATGTTCCCCTAACCTAAAGGGAATGTTCTATTTACTTTAAGAAAACTTTCCTGGCTAACCAATAGGGAACGTTCTTGGGAATGTTCTGGGAACCAAAAACTAACATTCCCAGAATGTTCTGGAAACCCAAAATTGTTAGCTTGGATAGTTCGTCTTCGGAACACAATTTAAGATATTTTGGATGAAAACCGGGAGGTTTGTGACTGTTTGACTGCCAAGTAACTTACACTGTCAAGGTCCAGAAAAGTATGAAAGACATCGTCAGAATAGTCCATCTGCCATCAATGGTTCAACCGTAACGTTATGAAGTGACGAGAATACTTTTTGAACACGAAGAAAACAAAAATAACGACTTTATTCAACGATTTGTCTCCTCTGTGTCTCTCCGCATCACCGTAGCGCCATTTTGGAGAATATGAGATGAACGCAGGCAGCTTACGCTATTCTGTGTCAGCCGCGACACAAGGGCCTTGTGTACTTTTCTGGGCCTTGACAGTGTATTTTACTTTGCAGTCAAACAGTCACAAACCTCCCGGTTTTCATCCAAAATATCTTAAATTGTGTTCCGAAGACGAACGAAACTTTTACGGGTTTGGAGCGACATGGGGGTAAGTGATTAATGACAAAATTTTCATTTTGGGGTGGAGTATCCCTCTACTTTGGACAAAAGCATCTTCAAAATGAATAAATGTAAATCAGTAATAATAATAATGTTATTTAAGCATGCATAACCTGTTTTTAAATGATAAAATAACCTACCCCAAACAGCAACATTGAAGATCTTTTGAATGTTGCTGCTTTTGCTGATGATCTTTTGTTTATAAAGTCCTGCATCTGAGGTCCAGATGTTTGCGATGGTGAGATCATCTGTCTCTGAATCTCCCATCACACTGAGCATTACAGACCTTACTCAAAGATCTTTTGCGAATGTCATTAAAATACCATTCAATTCTGGCATGTTTGTCTCACATGATTATTTCTAAATCAGTGTGTCGAGCGACAGAATTTCCCCTTTATCACAGACACATCATCTGTTTGATCACCTGGAGAAGAAACAAACTGTTAATCATAGCCACTTCTGGGATTGTGGAGCAGAAAGAATTTACAAAAGGAAAGGACACACTTTTTTAATTGTTTGCTGGAAGAGACATTGTAACAAATAAATGCCTGCCATGAATGCACACAATGAGAGCAAATAATTTTTACCGTAGATTAACAAAATGCTGATTCTGTGGAAATAAAGCGTTTCTTCATTTAAATGCAAACCGAAAGGAGTTTATCACTATTTATCACTGTACTTGTTTCAATGACGTGTTCTTGCTCAACCCATTTTACCAAGGGCTCACCTGGAGATTTAGTTTTTTGAAGTCTTAATAAGAACCAGAAGAACATATATGCTTTACACATATACATTTCTTGATATTTCATAAGGTGTGTACTTCAAAGAGCGACATCTAGTGTCTAAACTGTAGGAATCCAAAGAATTCATATGATGAGTGAATCAGATGTTTTTATTGGCACTTATCACATGAACATACATATATCTTTCAAGTTAATTTTTGCTTTTTTCAGAAAAAAAAACTGTGTTTATATAGGCTGATGCAAAGTTAAAGAAAACAAAAAAAAAAATACATGTCTATAAATATTCTGCTCATGGAAAGGCATGTGATATTTGTCTTTTACCACAAAATAAAACATCTTCATATTCACATACCATTTACAACATTTGAATAGCTTATTAAAAACATTAGTTTCACTAAATTTTTATTATTGATTTATATCATGGCAAAATCCATGGTACAAATGACTGGCATGACAAAAATAGGTATCATGATAGAATTAATTCCTTAAATCTACCTATTCTATCTACCCTACATTTATATAATTACAACGAACACAAAATATAAATCCAATTTTATTTCGTCATCATTGTTTTATTTTAAAGAGATAAAATTGTTCTTATCAATCTTGATAGACATGGTAATACAATTCTGTCACATTATTTTGGCAAGGAAAGTTTTGGATGAGTTTTGGGGAATTTTTGGGCTGAAAATGGTTGACCCAATCATTCAATACTGTTAAACGCTAAAATAGCATGGTCTAGAAAAAACTTCTACTGATATTTTTGAATCAATAAAAGTTCAGGACTAGTAATAGTCTTAAAAAAATTTAAATAAATAACTGTGGTTTAATAATAAACCAATAGCACTAATTGAAATATTCTGTCCCAGCTACATTTGTGGTCACGAGTGACTAGATTAGATTTACCTTAGAGGTTAAAATAATGATCAAGGTTAGGCTACACAGCAGTGTGAGCACTTGAGATGATATCAAACACATCTCGAAACATATGCTGTACTTTCATACTGAAGCTGCTGAAAACCTCACAGTAAATTCACGTTTATCTTCTCTAAATCCCTTCTTCTTTTGACAGTTGAACCTGAAAAACACACACAAAATTAAAATCATGAGAGAAAAAGGATCAGCGGCTGTATAGTAATGACCAATCGCCAATAAATAATGTTACATAACAGCATGGCTCTGGACCGGTTCAAGGAAAGAAAGGGCCATAAATAGAACGTGGAATGTTCCCCTAACCTAAAGGGAATGTTCTATTTACTTTAAGAAAACTTTCCTGGCTAACCAATAGGGAACGTTCTTGGGAATGTTCTGGGAACCAAAAACTAACATTCCCAGAATGTTCTGGAAACCCAAAATTGTTAGCTTGGATACGAGTAGAGCATTTTTTTTTTAACCATGAAGCAAACCTTTTTTACATTTCTTGAAAAAACACTTTAATTTCTATAAAGCTTTGACACTTTTTTTTTTTTCGTTTAATACATTTGGCCAAAAAAATCTTGCTATAAAAGATTATGCTGTATTGGCTAGTCGCAAGATACCAGACTAAGGCTCTTCGTGCTGTACTTAATTTTATTATTATTAAGCACAACAAAAAAAAAAGTTAACCTGTGTTTTTTTTCTACTCAAACCGGTTTTGGAATGGTAATAATACAGAAGGAATGCATAAATAGAAACATAAAAATTATGATTCTGCTGAGGGAACCGATTTAATTTTTTATTATTATATATTTTTTGCCCTGCATAACAGTAAATAATCCACTCAGATCAATGGGCATACGCATTTTAAATCACATAACTGCAATAAAAGACTGTTAAAAATTATGAACAGATGATTTAAACTAGACCAAATATCTTAAAATGAAGGATATTCTGGAACCCTGTGTGTTTGGGTGTTGAGGACGAGTAATCATGATATGATTTTGCCCAAAAACAGATGCTTTATAGGTTCAGAGAAAGAAAAAGGTTCAAACATGTTTCCACAAACAAAAGATTATTTAACAAAACAAACTCAGGTAATCCAGATACGAAAAGGCAACTTAACAGCGTGTCCACACACAAACAATACCAGAAATCAACTGAATGAAAAGGAGGAACTTAAATACATAGGGTGATAAAGCGCAAATGATGAACAGGTGATGACTCGTTAGGAACCATAGCAACGGTTAAGGCTAGATATTATGTGCACATCAATACAGCGTAATTTTTGTCACACTGTACAACAATAATTACTGTTTTTGTATTATTGTAAGGGTAGATGTAGGGTTGGGGTGGGTCTAATAGGTAGAAAATCCCTTGATTAACTAATACTCTGTCTCTTCTAATCTTAGTTTTGAAGCTGAATTTGTTTTGCCGGTTTGTAATCACAGAAACAAACAGAACTCACAGCATTTCACACCAACAGCAGCAGCCACGGTCAGCACCAGCAGGGCTGCACCAGCGAATACTGCTATCATATAACATAAAATTAGATCCATTGCTGGAGTTTCTACATGTGATAGAAGGAGACAGTTATTAATCTGATCTATAACAAACAGTATAAATCATCAGCAAATCTAATAGAGAGTAAATGTGAATGACGATGAAGTAGAACATCATACTTCATACATGAAGACTTAAATAGAAATTACAATTACAACTGAATAACTCATTTCTTTTAGCTGAAAATGGAGAATTAACATAGTAAGAAAATGCATTTTTACTATAGAACTTTTGATCTGAAGATTTTAACTTTCTAGAACAGTTCTGCATTGTAACTGCATCTCACATCCACTGATCATGACACTGGCCTGAAAAGACCAGTAGAAATAACTGCTGAGCCATTGAATGACTAACTCATACTCACCAAAGACAGCAATGCGGAAGTTCCTAATAATACTGCAGCTGCTGCTGTTTATCTCTAGTTTATAAAGTCCAGTGTCTGTGGTTCTGGTGTTTGTGATGGTCAGCGATCCAGTCTGATTGTCCAGCTTCAGTCTGTCTCTGAATCTCTCATCACTATCTTTACACTGAACATCTGTACAGATCTTAGTAGGATGTCCATTGATTTCAGCAATGAGAATGTCATTAAACCACCACATCATCAAATCATCTGGATTTACTACACCAGTACATAAAGTGACTGTTTCTCTCTCCTTCACTGGCACTGTCTTTATTTGATCTGTAGAAAAAAACACCAGAAGCACAAATAGACAACAGACTGAAGGATCCTTTTTAGGGAAAACTCAACAACAACAAACTGCTGTAATGAAAAATGCACATATTAACTTCCTGGATCTTGAGAAATTCAGCAGAAACAAAAGTAACTGCAAAATAAATGATGGCAGCTGCTTTTTCTGAGCTCATCTCTGTTACAACTTCTGTGTTGTTTCGCCTGTTTTGTGTTAAAGGGCATTTATGTTAAAGCATATTCTCTGTTCCTTGTGTTACGTTACAGTATTTCACTGTTGCACGTTTTGTAGTTCAGCCTTGTTCTGGACTTCTGGCATGTTTGTATTATGTATTTGTAAATAAACTGCTGCACTTACAGTCCCACCTCACCTCATCCCTGCCAGACCACAGCTGTACGACAGAACCCACGTGATGGATCTAGTAACAAACTGTGAGCTTGTCTCCTTCTCCTCTGTCATGGGAATTGTTCCCTGGAGGATTACACCCAGGAATTACTAGATATGCAGCATATCAGATTCATTTTCCCAATGGTTCACTCATTGTATATTGGACTGGACTTAATGATTCATTCAAAGCACTCCTTGACACTGTCCTTCAGGGACATTTTGTGAGTTTGTGGATCAAGTACCACTACTGGCTGGATCCCCCTTCACCATGGGGGAGGTGGAGGAGGATTTCCTCATGGCCACCATACCAGATTCCACAAAGGCTGCCTTGAGGTGTGTGGGACTAGCAACCAAGGTGGTGGACCCCCAAATGCTGTTGTTTCATGTAGCAGTGAAAATAAGCTCAGCCTTCTCAAGCCCTGTGGTCCTAGGGGTTCTAAATCTGGTGGTCCCAAGTCAGGTATACCTGAATCTGGTGCCAGAGGTCATCCCACTGTCCACTGTGCTTCTGGTTGTGGCAGTGTCTGCCATAGCTCCTCCTGAGGTGGCAGTGTCCTCCACCTCCGAGGCAGCAGTGTTCGCTCCTGAAGTTTCTGCCTGCTCTGATACAGCCACAGAGACCATCCCAGAATTCCCATTCTGCTTTGACATAGCCACTCTCCACCTATCATGTCACAGCCAAGGAGGCTATCTCTAAACTTCCTGCCTATTTGGTGTAAGGTCCACCCAATTGGCCCAACGAAGGTATCTAATGGTGGCCGAAGGTTTCCTGTGTGTTCAGTCTTTTCTGTCCGCAAAGCAATTTAAAGGGGTGGTCTATCTGCTTTTTTTAAAGGCTTGGTTGTGTTTATGGGGTGCACTGTATCATGATCATGCTTCGTTTTTTAACACATTATTTTTCACATAGTTTACCTTTATTCTACACCCCTTTTCTGTTCTCATAAAAATGGTCTGTTGACTTCCTGGTTCCTTCCTCAGAAATGTTTTCTTCTCCGCCTTAGTGGTCTATAGATTCACCTGCTCTGCCTTGGTGATCCCCTGCCCCTTCTGCTCCACCTTGGTGGCCTCCTGCACCATTAGCTTCACCTTTGTGGCCTTCTGCTCCACCTTGGTGGTTTACATATCCACCTGGAGGACATCTGTCCTGGAGGTCTCCAGTATCACCTGCTCCACCTTGGTGGTCTTCTGATCCATCTACTTCGCCATGGCCCTCTGCCCTACCGGCTTCACCCAAGCTCCCCGAACTACCAGTTCCATCCTGGTTAAAGGCTCCACTCTGGCCCCCAGCTCTGTCGGCTACACTATGGTGCCCCACTCTGCCTGCTCCACCTTGGTCCCCAGGCCTACTTCTTCCTCAGAGGCCTGGCCCTCCTTCCCGCCTTTATGTAGGTACAGGGCTATTTACCCCATTTTGCTGAGCCCACAATATGACACTGAAAAAGTCTTCAAGAGCTACTGCAGTTATCAAGGAGGATTCACCTGTATGCGATCCAGCTCCAATGCGAACATAATACTTGCAATTGGAAATCAAGGTGATGATTTGAAAAAGCTTACAGAGGACAATATGACATGTATATGCATTAGAATCTTTATTGGCTAATTTGCAGTTAGAATAGATCAGCGTCAAATGAAAAATGGTCGAAGTGGACGGTGCCTTGAATAGAAGGGATTCACACCTCAGTGGGTTTAAAAAGATGTGCGGTGAATAAATCTCTCTGGGCTAAAGTGAATGACTTAGAGGGCAATCTCATAGGCTGAATCTCACATTTGTGGATGTAAGTGAAGGGGAAGAGGGAATGTTCCCCTGTATTAATTTCAGACCTAATTACTGAGCTATTTTGCTGTGATAACTTCCCAAAATAGACAAAGCCCATCGGGCACTGTTGCCCAAACCCAACAAAGGACAGAAGCCTTGCACCATTGGTGCAAGGATACATAATGACCTGGGATAAGGATTTGATCCTTCACCTAAGTAAGGATACAATTTCTCTGGAATGTAAAGGGAAGCAAATTTACATGACTATACACTGGAGGTTTCTGCACAGGGACATGCATTTAGTCCAGTCAACAAAATATTCCGGGATGCTGGACTTAAATGGTCTTTATGTTTTCATGCAGATCTGGTGTTGTACCCTAACAGCCGGGAACTTCCACTTGAATCCTGATCAATTTTGGGAGGTATCATAGGGAAGTTTGGGAGTTCACTTTTATGTTCTCTTTTAAAATTTAGATTTTTTTAATGTTTATGAATGACCCCATGCCTAATATGCTTTTTGAATATGTCGAATGATAGTTACTGGCAGTACTAATACTAATAATGATAATGTCATTGTCTGCAGACATTATTTTCTTAAAGAAACACATATCAGACCCACTGAAATGTGTCCTTGTATGTGGATAATTTACTTATATATATATATATATATATATATATATATAAATAAATGATTCCCCATCCACTTTGCCTTTAATGGAATTAATTTGCCTCCTTTTCTGGCTACTCTGTGAATTGGGAGAAGAGTGAATTCATGAGTATACACTCAATTTTTTAATTCAATATCAATCAAAATTCCGGAAGATCACTTTACCTATCAAGGGCTGGCCATTCACAGAAATTCAAAACATGTTTTCAGTCTTGATTTTACTGAAGCCATTAAGAAGTTGAAACTTAAACTGAGTCTATTGAGACTATGTATTATGAGCACTTCCTTTGTTTATTTGCCTCTTTATAATGAATCGCTTGTTTTATTCCTTAATTGTAAGTTGATTTGGATAAAAGCATCTACTAAATGAATAAATGTAAATGTAAGTGGAGAGTTCTAAAATTGGTCAGATAAACCCTATTAAAATGGCTTTTCTCTTGTTTACAGTTTTTCAGAACATACCCAAATATTTGCCTCATTATTTTTTCAAACAGCTAGTTTCTGTAAAGAAGTCACAATGTAAGAACTTTGTTGTGTTCAAATCTATCAGAAAATCTGGATAAGTTTGAATCAAATAAGAACGTATATGAATATTACATGTTATTCAGTGTACCTGCCTATTTGTGATAATCATAATTTTCTGCCAGGTCAGTCTGATAAGGTATTTTCATTGTGGAGACACAAAGGACTGGCCACAATGAAGGGTTTTATGTAGATGGTAAATTCACTGCTTTTGACCACTTTACTTGTATTGGTATAAGATTTGGCATCTTCAGATCACCTAAAATTAGCATGGGAGGATGACATTGGAATTAATATCTCAAAAGAGTTCATATCTGCGGATTCATATCTGCTCTATTAATATTATAATACAAATTCTAATTTAAAGTGATAGGTTACATTATTCGAAAATAAAAATGTACCCTTCAGATTCGATTTTCCAAAATCTGAACGTCCAAAAAAATGTGGAAATATTTGTCATGCAATACTGCTAACTTTATTTGGTCTAACATTCAGGAGGTTAAAGGGTTAGTTCACCCCAAAAAAATTTTTTGTCATTAATTACACACCCTCATGTCGTTTCAAACCGTAAGACCTCCTTTCATCTTCGGAACACAAATTAAAGGGGTCATCCTTATTTTGTGTATTTGGTGTAACAGAATATGTTGACATGCTTTAATGTTCAAAAAACACATTATTTTTCAAATACTGTACATTATTGTAGGTCCTCTATGCCCCGCCTCACTCAAACGCGTTGTTTTCTACAAAGTCCCTCCTTCTGACAAGCGCAGTCTGCTCTGATTGGCCAACTGACCCAGTGCATTGTGATTGGCCAAACACCGCAAGCACTCGTCGGAAATGTAACGCCCCTTTCCATAATCGCGAGCTTCATCTTTCAAAATAAATGTAAAGACAGTTAATAATGTCCTTAGTTTTACCAACAGTTCAAGCCTGAAAGGGGAACAGAGTCGTGTGACAGACACAGTGATGAATGCATTACGCAAATATTTCCACATCGTGACGTAGACATGTGGGGGCGTGTTTGAATGAGTCGTTTTAGGGGGGCGTGGCAGAGTCTTAACTTTGATAAAGAATATCTCTTTGGTTTTGAGTCTTGTCTTTGCAACTTCAGGAATCTTATCAATTCACGAACAGCTTGTAACACTCCAAAGAGAAAGGAAAACTTGAAATCGCATCATATGACCCCTTTAAGATATTTTTGATGGAATCCGAGAGCTCTCTGGCCCTCCCATAGACAGCAAAGTTACTACCACGATCAAGGTCCAGAAACGTAGCAAGGACATCGGTAAAGTAATCATCAGGAAGCTGCGAGAATTAACGAGCTACCAATGACTTGAAATCGCATCATATGACCCCTTTAAGATATTTTTGATGGAATCCGAGAGCTCTCTGGCCCTCCCATAGACAGCAAAGTTACTACCACGATCAAGGTCCAGAAACGTAGCAAGGACATCGGTAAAGTAATCATCAGGAAGCTGCGAGAATTAACGAGCTACCAATGTCCTTGCTATGTTTCTGGACGTTGATCGTGGTAATTACATTGCTGTCTTTCTGTAGGGTCAGAGAGCTCTCAGATTCCATCAAAAATATCTTAATTTGTGTTCCGAAGATGAACGGAGGTCTTACGGGTTTGGAACAACATGAGGGAGAGTAATTAATGACAGCATTTTCATTTTTGGGTGAACTATCCCTTTAAAGTTCAAGGTGTAGTATTATTTTCATAGTATCTGGTGTGTTTTCAGAAAAGGACGGTTAGTACTAGTTGTTAGGCGTCTTTTTTTAACCAGATGGGATAATAAACTACTGCATTCTATAGCATCTGACATATTTTGTTGTGATCATACAACTTTAAAATGAACACATCAATGATTTAAACAAATATGGTCTGCTTTTAAACATTCGTTAAATGCCTCACCATGAACAGTAACATTGAAGATCTTTTCACTGCTGGGGCTGCCTAAAATCTTCAGTTTATAGAGTCCAGCATCTGAGGTCATTATGCTTGTGATGGTCAGAGATCCAGTCTGATTGTCCAGCTTCAGTCTGTCTCTGAATTTACCATCACACTGAACATCTGTACAGGACTTACTGAGATCTCCAGTGATTTGTGCTAAGCGAATGTCATTAAAATACCATCTAATTCTGTCTTGTTGCTTTGTTTTAACACCAGTGTGTAGAGTGACTGAATCTCCCTCCATCACAAACACTGTAATTTCTTCAACACCAAACACACCTGAAGAAGAAATAAACAGTTCATTATGAATCGCTTCTAGGATATTGGTGCTGTTTCAATATTCGACAAAATGTCCACATATTGTTACAATTGAAACATAAAAAAAATGCAGTATCGATCACGCAGCAAACTCTCTAGTGATGCTCCATATCGGACCGTGCATTAGTTAATATCCTATTAATCACGTGATCGACCACAAACCAAACCTCACTTTTAACAGTCACGTGTGCGATAAGCTTGGGACGTTCCAACTCCCTTAGGATTTGAAGAATACCAATTATATCAGGCGAAATAGCTATTTGCCATATGCAACTCTGTAGTCTTAGGTCTATATGTGTGGGCTACGCTATCTATTACATCATATTAAAATATATTATTTCATACTATCATTTATTGACACACTTTAATAGGTCAATTAATTTATCAGATGTATTTAGGAAGTGTGTGATGGCAGCTTCATCCGACGGAGCTTTTAGCAGCATTATTTTTTTTTTTACTAACCCCCAGATAGCAATGTTTTCGACACTCTCGAAGCTTTGAATCGTCTCCTGGAACAGTTACATAAAGCTTTAGTGTTTTATAAGATTTTCTTCTCCCCCATATTCTGTACCGTCCTGAATGATGTAATGAAAGTGAAAGAATCTGTGATTGGGGCTTTTCCCAGAATAGTTATCCATAAACAGTATGTCATTAAAAAAATTATATTGGCAGCAGAGGCATCACGCTCATTCAAAGTGATGGGCACGTGCCCTCTCAGATTTTTGAGCCAAGTGGATTTTGAATGCAGCTTCCAAAAGACAAAAAAAATTCAAATCTGCGTTCACTGGCTGACTCGTTTTTACAGCGCTACGCATTATAACCAATCACACACGATGCTGTTGAATTTATGAATGCAATGACCAATCAGAGGCGTTCAGATGAGTCATCGCTAAAATGCCGGTGTTTTCTTCACCTGCTCGCTGTCTGAATACCTCTTTCTGGCGAATTATCTCATCAGAAACAGCACACAATAAGACGTGAACAAACAGTATATGAATTGATTTACAAAAACAAACTCGCATTGTATTGAAGGTACATCTTGTGTTCAGTGTATGACACAACAGCGTCATCTCAAATACATTTAGAAAACGATTTTTTTTAACAACATCATCTGACCTGATCATTTCAATATATTTTGCCATGTATTTCGGTTTCTATGCCTGTACCTCCATAAGCGTGTAACAATGTGTCTTTATTTAAAACAATGAACTTCAATTCCTCATCAACATAAAGCAGCTATAATAAATATGTTTTGCGTCGAGTATTAACCGATTAGTATATAAAGTGAAATTGAAAGTTTGTAGTCTTACCACGGTGTAGTAAACCACACGTTGACAGTAAAATAAAGAGAAACTTCATTTGTGCCACCATTAGAAAAAATTATTTCCCTAAAAAAAATGCAGTATCGATCACGCAGCAAACTCTCTAGTGATGCTCCATATCGGACCGTGCATTAGTTAATATCCTATTAATCACGTGATCGACCACAAACCAAACCTCACTTTTAACAGTCACGTGTGCGATAAGCTTGGGACGTTCCAACTCCCTTAGGATTTGAAGAATACCAATTATATCAGGCGAAATAGCTATTTGCCATATGCAACTCTGTAGTCTTAGGTCTATATGTGTGGGCTACGCTATCTATTACATCATATTAAAATATATTATTTCATACTATCATTTATTGACACACTTTAATAGGTCAATTAATTTATCAGATGTATTTAGGAAGTGTGTGATGGCAGCTTCATCCGACGGAGCTTTTAGCAGCATTATTTTTTTTTTTACTAACCCCCAGATAGCAATGTTTTCGACACTCTCGAAGCTTTGAATCGTCTCCTGGAACAGTTACATAAAGCTTTAGTGTTTTATAAGATTTTCTTCTCCCCCATATTCTGTACCGTCCTGAATGATGTAATGAAAGTGAAAGAATCTGTGATTGGGGCTTTTCCCAGAATAGTTATCCATAAACAGTATGTCATTAAAAAAATTATATTGGCAGCAGAGGCATCACGCTCATTCAAAGTGATGGGCACGTGCCCTCTCAGATTTTTGAGCCAAGTGGATTTTGAATGCAGCTTCCAAAAGACAAAAAAAATTCAAATCTGCGTTCACTGGCTGACTCGTTTTTACAGCGCTACGCATTATAACCAATCACACACGATGCTGTTGAATTTATGAATGCAATGACCAATCAGAGGCGTTCAGATGAGTCATCGCTAAAATGCCGGTGTTTTCTTCACCTGCTCGCTGTCTGAATACCTCTTTCTGGCGAATTCTCTCATCAGAAACAGCAAACTGCAGATGTGTGTATGAATCTGTAAGTAAGATATTAATTTCATAGTGTAAACAGCTTCAGTGATCTTAATGGGAGTTTTTGAGAGTGCTTGAACTCTAGACTGTCAGTGAAAATGTTAATGTAAATGTTCTTTGCTCTCTTTCTGTACAATGAAAGTGTTAGGATTAGTAGCCAAACTTACAGTGTTTTTATTCACATTAACTTTCAATGTTAAATTCACATTAAATATAAAGCCAGTCGTATTAAAATATGTTATGGCATGACCCCCATATCTGTTACTAAAGTAAACAGACAGGTTTTTATGTATGCGTGTCACATGAAAAGCATGACGAGCCCCCCCCCCCCCCCTCGTGCCCCCTCAAAAATAATGAGTGCATGACGCCCCTGATTGGCAGCTATGTCACGGTAGATCTCAGTGCTAATAGGCTTAAAATTATAATTTGAAATATATATAGTTTATATTAAAAGCCTTTATATTAAAACTACCCTTCTATTAGTGCAGAACAGGTAATGTCAACACTTTGTGGTCTTCCAGTGGTTTGCATTACTCACAGTTTAGCATTATGTGATTAATTTACAACCAAACAAAAGAAAACAGAATACATTTATCTCTAAAATGAATGCCTTTATCATATGCAACATTTGTCACACATGCCTCATCTTTAGTCAGGTTATGTATGGTTAATTATTCATATTTCCCATGAGCTGATTCGCTACAAAAGGCTCATGTGCTTTTGCCCTGGTTGTATTTTGTCTTTCAAGACGTGCATTACAGCCTCCACATGGTTATTTTTAGTTGCCAAATGCTGGTAATTTAAGGTGAAGAGTCCGCTTCTCATGTTAATCATTCAGACTTTGTAGACGTGTGTGTATATAGTAGAACAGGAAGAAGCCTTTCACCTCAACCACAGACCTGTGCCCAATTCCCAACACGTACAAGCTATGCACTCAACAGGTCAAACTACATGTTAAAGGAAACCAACCACAGGTTTCAGTTTGACTCAGTTTGAACTGCTGATGTCACAATCAAGACCAGTACTGAGATGGCAGGTAGTCTAATTTTTAAATGACGAATGTTTTCCAGTGTTGAGAACGGTTAAAAACTACTGTATGTAATACAAGACAAAAGCATCAGAGGATGTGCATGAGGAGGGTCTTCATACGGAGTTGGGGGAGGATTCACACATCAGGTTAACAGCTTGAGTTGGGGGGATAGTCTATTAGATCAGACTCTTTACTGAACTATTGGAGGATGTTTCACATGTTTGTTTTATTTTGTTTGTGCTGGTGGCGTCAGATTGGTAAGTTAAAGAGGCATTTGTAATGCTTAATACAGCAATAATTCAGGTTTGTGATTTCTATTTGGATTCACAGGGTCTCCACAGTCATGGAAAACCTGCAATTATTGGGACATTTTTAAATTGTGATTTCCACACTTTGAAAGGTCATGGGAAAGTAATACATGCTGGGGGAAAGGTAGTGGAAAATAATGAAAATGTAAATGGAGCATATAAAGTCTTCCATTGAGCTGCTTTCAAATCCCAGGCCTTTTTTTTTTTTTTTTTTTTTCAGATACTGCAAATGGACATCAAAATGGAAATGCTGTATCACCCAGCAGTGAATAATCAGTGCAAATGTTTTTTGTTTTTTTTATGAACAACAAAAATTATGGAAATATATTGCTAAAAAAGTACATTAAGTGATTTAGATTCAGTGAAAAAGGTGCAAAAAGGCGTGCACATCCAAACAACCCAAAACTAGGTGCAGGACAAAAAAAAATCATCTCCAATTTTTTTTTCTCCCCCAAACAGATCAATGTTTCAACCTGTCAGGTCTTTATTGTGATTAATTATGTTCATTATGTAAGTTCAGTGAGCATGTTTCATCTAATGTTCATGCTCTTCAGGTGTGTTTGGTGAGTCAGTGTCAGTGATGGAGGGAGATTCTGTTCTTCTACACACAAATGTTACTGAAATACATGATGACGACATTCTGTGGAATTTTGGAGCTGAAAAGTCTCTGATAGCTGAAATCAGTAGAGATGCTGGAATCCTCACCACATTTGATGGTCCTGATGAGAGATTCAGAAACAGACTGAAGCTGGACAATCAAACTGGATCTCTGACCATCACAAACATCACAACTCAACATACTGGAGTTTATCAACTAGAGATAACTGCAGCTAAACTTTCATCAAAAACATTCAGTGTTTCTGTCTATGGTGAGTAGAGATCATCAGTCATGTCCTTTGTAGATCAATTATTTACATATTAAAGTGTTTAATAGTTTTATATATTTTCAGATCACAGAAACCACTTCTGGATTATTATCAGACTAAACACCCACTCAACAAACTGAGTCAAAATGTGATTGTTGCTTATATTTAACCATATTTCTCTTTATTCTCATGTTTTCAGCTCGTCTGCCTGTTCCTGTCATTAGCAGTAACTCTTCACAATGTTCTTCATCATCATCATCATCACAGCAGAATTGTTCACTGGTGTGTTCAGTGGTGAATGTGGGTCATGTGACTCTCTCCTGGTACAAAGGAAACAGTTTATTGTCCAGCATCAGTGTGTCTGATCTCAGCATCAGTCTCTCTCTACCTCTGGAGGTGGAATATCAGGATAACAACACCTACACC